GCTAGGATGATACCTAAAGAGTTGGATGAGAACATCTGAATGTCGTATTTTCCAGCGACATGAAAAGCCACTGGCACATCCCAAATAGAAACTTCCATAGCTTTCAGCAGCTTAGGTGTGACTGTGTGTGAGTGCCTGGGCTGTATCTTTTTCACTTTTCCTTATTTCTGTGGTTTTCCCAATATGACTGAGCCTCTTCTCTTCACTTAGCCCAAGGTTGGCAGCTGGATGGTGGGAGAGTCTAAAGAGACATGGTCACTACAAAGCCAGGAAGGCAGATACTAAGGATAACAAAGGAAGTCATCCCCACTTCCCCCTAAGGATGCTCCATCTCGCCAAGGAGACAGGTTTCAAAGTCAAGATAGTCCTGTATGCAAATCTGGAGTTTATTAGCTGCACGGTAATGAACAAGTTACTTAACTCCTCTGATCTTTAGTGTCTTCATCTGCAAAATGGATATCACATCACGAGCTTTTGTACTGGGCACCAACACTGCCAGTCATTGGGCAAGGCTCTGAGGTTACCGAGAAGAGTGAGATGTGGTCCACATACACATAAACAGATGGTTTCAACTGCATATGAGTAAGTATGATGACGGAGGAAGGCCGAGGATTATAAACAAGGAGGCAGACACTGTTCTGAGAATTAAATGAGATAATGGTATACAAAGTGCCTGGACAGAGAAGGCACTCAGGATAGATTCTTATGATTCCCCAAGAAAGCTCTGTGCCTCTAGATCCACAAAATGCTCTAAGATCCTGTCTCAGGGAGATGCTGACCAAGGAATGATTTCATTGCAGAAAAGTATTAAAGGGGTTGAAATGGTGGATGGTTGGTTAGAATATGGCATTAGGGAAAGTCCTTTCCTGCCCTTCTGGGGACCCCGCACTTTCTCTGGCTCAGCTTTATTCCCTTTCTTCTGGCTCAAATGAGTGGGGGATAGTAGAGCAGAAGTATACATTTAGTCAGACTTTTTGGTTCTCTGCAAATTGCAGTCATAGATTCTTCTTCCCTGTAAAAATGAATGCTAACATGCAGGGAGCATAGTAGACATCAACACCAAAAAGCACAGTGGGGCCTCACTGAGCACATTCTGGGATGGGCGTTACCCTTTGGAAACAAAGAAAGATGGTGCTCCTTGGCCCAGAGCTTATAAGACACTTGTGAATTATACATCTGGAAGCTTCTCTACATTCCTGTTCCCTGCTGCTTTACACGAATCATATGGAATTGAGTTACACATCTCAGAGACTTGCTTTGAAACACAAAGATTATTTATCATGTTATATTGTTATAAGAACTTGTGAACTTTACAAATGAAAGAGAAGCCTGTACATGTTTTTTACTTCACTTTTATATCCCAACGCCCGTTGACTTCCCAAACACTTCTACTTCGCAGGTTATTCGAGTCACTCCTAGGTCACAAAACCATCTTCACACTTTCACCCTCCAAAAATTATCTTGTTCCTTTTCTTTACTAAGCAAAAATCTCAGCCTAATTCGGGTTTCTTTCCAGCATCACCAGTGACTTCCCTCCTGGGCATTCCTCAATCCCATCTCTACTTCCAAGGGTTTCATTACTGAGACCCTGAATGTAGGGGCATGAATTTTAGGTGAATTGCCAGCGCCCAGTTTCAGTCCAATCTACAGTAGCAAGATTCAAGAGAGAAACAAACACACTGTGGTGGACAACTCTAAGATGGCCCCATGATCCCCAGCTCCTGGTGTTCAGGCCTCTGTGTAATCCCCTCTCCTTGCCTGTGGGCAGGACTGGGACTTGCTTCTGACCAAGAGAAAACAGCAAAGGTGACAGGACGTATGTGATTGCATGTACACAATTACGTTACATAAAACTATAACATCTGTCTTGTTAGGAGGTGCTCTCCCTTGCTGTTTGTGATGAAACAAGTAGCAGTGTTGGGGAGGCCTGTGAACTGGGCCCCAAGAGCTGCTGACCTCAGCCAACAGGTGGCAGGCAACTGAATGCTGCCAATAACCATGTGTGCTTGGAAGCAGATCCCTCCCCATCTGAGGCTCAGATGAGACTGCGGTCCCAGGCAGCAGCTGCAGTGCAACCTTTTGAGAGTCTGAAACAAAGGACTCTGCTGAGCTGTGCCCAACTGCTGACCCACAGAAACTGTGAGATAATAAATGTCTGTTGTTTTAACCTATTATCTTTGTGGTAATAGAAACTTTATTGAAATTTACAAGAAAAACATCACATACCAAAAGATAAATGAGTAAAGGCTATCACAGACAATTCAGATAGAAGAAAACAGAAGGAGCAAACAAAAACACAGAACCATGTTCAATGCTCCCAGTGGTCCAAAGAGGTACCACTTTATAGCCACCAAAGTGGCCAGTAAGACAAAGGAACAACCACAGCTGGGAGCGTTCAGGCCATGCTGAGAAGGCCCTCACCAGTGAAAATATTTTATACCATTACAACTTACTTGTAAAGCCACACAGGAGTCAGAACCCAATCATCTAACTCCTAGGAAAACTTAGCAGAAGCTATCTGCTCAGATTTTACAACAGTGTTATCTACAACAGCAAACAGTTAGAAACAACTTAAAAGTCTAATAATACAGTGATGTTTAATAAACTGTACTTTATTAACACATGGATTATCTATTAAAATAACTGCGAAGGCCAGAAACATGGAAAATGTTTACAATATGACCAAAAAAAATGTAGACTATAAAAATGCAAATAAAGGCCATCACTAGCTGAATAGTTACAACGTGTCAGGCATTGTTTTAGGCATTTTGGTCACATTTAACTACATCTTCACAACACCCTGCCACTAAAGTAATATTATTCCCATTTTATAGATGAAGATACTAGGGCAAAGAGAGGTTACAAAAATTAGCTAAGGCCACCTAGCTGGAAGTAGAGGAGTCAGATATGAACCAAGATATGACTCCAAATGCTGTAGGGTTTTTTTGTTGTTGTTTGTTTTTGCTTGAGGAAGATTCGCCCTGAGCTAACATCTGTGCCAACTTTCCTCTATTTTGTATGTTGGCCCCCAAATGCTGTGGTTTTAAGTGCATTGTTCTACCTCTTTTAGACATTTGTGACAACTGCAACTATGTATAACTATGGATATCAGGGGACACACACTGGAAAATAATATGCTAATGTGAAAACAGCACGATATGGGAATAGGATTAAAAGCAACTGAATTTCAAAACCATCATCTTTAAGGCTATATGACTGACCCAACACAAATGTGAGAGACAATCAAGCAATGGACTTTTGACCTCTAATTCTCCATGAGAAGTTTAATTATAGATAGGTCCTTGGAAAGAGACCTGTCTAAAACCACCTCTAATTTCACTCTTTTCTGGTAGAATGCAGTGGAAGTAGAGAATGGTCCAGGATACAGAATACCCAAATGCAGCCATCAGAGTTGGGTGCAGATCACTAGACAAGGGTGAGGATGGGAAAGCTCTGGGGATAAGAGACCTGGGAGGAAACACAGAAGCGCAGTGCTGACTGGGGAAAACAGGTAAGCTTCAGGACTCCAAGGCAAGGAGAGCGCTGGGAGAGAGAGCTGTACGGTCACCCAAAGGAGGGTCTGCCTGCTTGCTTTCCCTCTGACAGTAACCTGAGCTCCTATCTGCTTGCAGTGGCCAAGTACAAAGATAAAAATGAGCGTCCCTGTAGAAATAACAGCGAGTACTCATACAGTTGTCTTGTTTTAAAAACTAGATTCAGCAATGCTATGTGGCAACATAAGGGCAGGTACAGACTCATACTCTTGCCATCCAGGTGCCTGTGTAGACGCCAAACCAAGATACTTTCTTCTCAGGGCAGTGAAATACACACTTTCCACAACAAGATCTTCAAGTCTTTTTATTTGTGCTTTTAGGATAACCTAAGTCCTTTTCTGGTCAGATCTCAGAGGACATGTTGACCACTGTCACCTTTCCTGAGGGGAAATTGTAACAGAGGACACTCTGGACTCTATGAAAGTTAGATTAGAAAACCCATGTTAAGAAGCACTGACTCGCAGGGTGGGGGACATGAGAACCCCACCCCCAGACATTCTGTGCCATTTTACTCACTGTCTTGCTCAGAAAGCCCATCACTTGGTGGGAGATGACCACCTGCTGTGCTTACAGCAGATTGTAACTCCCAGCTTACAGGTGACATCCCTTCCCAACTACATCATCCACGCAATCACTCCAGAAGAACACTGCACAGAGGGGCAGAGCAGAGCTAATTTGTCATCAAGGCTTTTGAGACAGGAAAAGTGAAGCTGGATGCTTCAAAAGACATCACCGTTTTAGGGGGGCAGACTAAGTATGGCTGGTGAAGGAAGGATGTGAAACAATGCCCTGTAAATCTGATTTTACCAATACTACATCTCAGCCAGACCAGAATCAGTTACGTGCAAAATGATTAATCACCGTCTCCCTGAAATATTCAAGGTCTGGCTGCCTATTCTCAGGATGGAAAAACTCTAACGCTGATGCATGACTTTCAGGCTTTTGTTCATTCTCTACCCTTTTAATAAAGAAGAACAAAAAATTTTGCCTTGGGCTTGGTGAGTTATGGGGTTTATCTCCCAAGTGGCAAACCTTCACTCCTCAGTGCAATCACCCACTGAGCCCAAGTTACAGGAAGCGGGCAGAGAAGGAAGGGTGCCCGTGCTGTCCCTCAGGCAGCGATTCGTCCCATGCCTAACTGCTCCGAGACAGGTTTTCTTTTAATAGAAAAGGTTTCTCTATTTACAGAAGCAAATATTTACAACAAATATTTATAAACCTATATTTATACAGGTTTTATACTTATAGAAAAATAGGCACTGCAGAAGAAAATTAATTTAACTAATGGGCAAATGCTGACGGCTTCACACGGCATACATTTTTGACAAGTGTGGCTGAAGAATTACAACCTGACTCCAACACTGCTGGGGAAGGCTGCAGAGAATCAGGAGAACACATCCTTGGGGTGTCACCTGAGGCAAAGACTCCAGGGGGGCCCCCACGTACCCTCTCCGTGTACTCAGACACGATCTGCTTGATCTTGGCAGAGCAGAGTCCCACGATCTGGCCCACGGAGTTTGCAGTGAGACGGGTCTGCAATCAGAGGGAGGGTGTGTGCTCAAGACCATGCCTCCTCTTTCACAGAACTGGAAAACCCTGAACACTCTGAGTATTACGGCAAAATAGATAACATTTCCAGGGGAAAACATAATTTGGCTTTTGTTTCTGTATTCATCAACAAGGAAGGGAGAAAACAGGCTGACAACAAATGTTAAGGGACCTCCCTACCTCCTGGGTCACTCAATTCACTGTGCTAGATTCTCCTCAGACCCTGGATTCCTCTGGAAATTGGCTCTTTACTCCACCTACCCCATCCCAAGGTCTCTCTTCCTGAGGGTCACTAAACAGAGGTTAAGGGAACTTGGAGGCTTAGGACTCAGGGGGAAAAGAAGTACAAGTGGGAGAGGAAGAGGAATCTCAGAACTCCTAAACTCTCTCTTCACTGCCACAGGCCCTTCCTGCCCTAAAAAGGAAAGATCCTTTCAAAGCACCTGGTTAAACCTTCTGGACAGGCCTTGAGCTCTGGCAAGACCAACTATAAATTCAGTATTCTATTTCTCCCTAGAAAGTGTGGGAAGGAAACAGAAGACAGGGTCTCCTTTGAGGTGGGCTGAACCACGGCTCTCCTGCAGAGGCCCTTGTGATGCTGCCCCAGCAGGGACATCCTGCTCTCACAAAGGTCCTTCAAGTCTCCCTCCTGGAGGTTCCCACGGATAGCAACACTATGCATTTATAAAAAGCTGCCCAAAAGAAAGATCCCAAGGAAACAGGAAGCACTGAGTACTGAAAAAAGAGGGCTCTGAAGAAAGTGGTCCCTCTGGGAGGAGGGCCCCACAGAGCAGAGCAGGGTGGTTCCAACGCCCCGTCTCCACACCACGCCCTCCCCCACGACACTCCCACCTCACCTCTTCATTTGCCATGGCGGTCATCTTGGTCATCAGTGACTGGATGCGCTGCTAAAAGAGGAGTGGGGAGAAGGAGTGGTGAGCAGATCTCACCAGGTAAGACTTAGGCAGTATGTCTAAATAGCTCTTTGTGGTGGAATCCAAGGGTTGTTTTACTTGATCTTGTTTCAGGGTGAGGTTCATAGAGGTGAGAAAAAGAACTAGAAAGGCTGTGAAAGGCCAGCTAACAGAAGCTGGCTGTGGAGGCAACTGACATTTTGGAAAGCTGGGGATGAAAGTGAAATTTCTTCCCAAATGATTTAAACAGAAACCTCAGGGGCCTGCAAGGGCCACATACCTCTACAGCAGCTCGAAGCTCATCTTCCTCATGGGCGTCAGCTTTTTCTGTAGCCGAGAGCCCCGTGGGAAGTGCCATTTTCGTGTCCTCAGCCTGGAAGGGAAGATGCGAAAACAGCTGAGCACTGGAGTTGGAGACTCAGCAGAGAAAGGATAACATTGCAAAGAGGCACGAGTCTGTGAAAGAAAACACACAGATCTGGAAAGCTGAACCAGTCCCTGAGAAAGAATGGAAAATCCAGAGACCTGAGCTTCCATGCTGGCTACAGACGGAGCAGGCTGAGCTTCAGGCCTTGGCCAATGCCTGTCTCCATTTGCGAACTGCTTGCTGATTAAATTCATATCAGGTCACACACATTTGCCAGACTTACCCTTGCACTTTGATTGGGTCTTGACCCACTTTAACACCTTCGGGGAAGCTCATGGCCTAAAGAAGTCTTTGTTCAAACTGCCAGTTGATACCCATTAGTGAGACATGAGAGCAATTTAGCAGGTATAACTAGCATCTAAATAAATTAAATAAAAATAATAGAACAGAACACATTAGGGTGCTTTGCATGGAGAAAGGAATTAAGTATTGCATTGTGAGACTTTCGCTTTTGGTATATATGTGTGTGTACTTAATCAGGATGAAAAATAGAATTCTTACTGTCAAGAGTGGTCAACAAAGTTTGAAAACCACTGGTCTGAAAGATGAAAACCTAAACTCTCTCACTTGGTGATCAAGCTCACGCTAGTGACCCAGCCTCAGGCTCTCAACGTACCACACACTCAAGACACCTGGATTGACTGCTGTTCTTCAAGCATGGGCGGGAAGTCTAGAGTTCTTGGTTTTAGTTCCATCTTTGCCATTCACCAGCTGGTGACCTCAGGCTTACCCTCTCTGGACATTAGGGTCATCCAGGGTTGAAGGAGAGGACTCATCTCAGATGCTCTTCTCAGACCATCCCAATTCTAGGATGCTTTTCTATAACAAGCCTATGACTGACCAGGGCAGCAATCTGACCTCCTAACTGCTGGGTATAGGGATGGGGAAACAAGACTTTCAGTTCAAATGTGCCGTCTGATAGAAGAAGGACAAGACAAGCCCAACATGAATACTACTGCATAGGAATCTCGTATTTTTCCAGTCATAATGAAATTGCCTTATCTCAGAATAAAGTCCCATATAGACATTCTTTTCAGACTTAAAATTACAAATCAAAATTAAATGTACACATCATATTCTTAGTATATACCGGATGCCACATGACATGTGCAAATCGAGAAAACACCTTGCTTTGGAGGAAACAACTATTTAGTTGAGTGAAAACACAAATATCGAAAAAAATAAGTAACAAGAAAACCAAAAAAGAAGATGATATAATCAGTGCATGACTGATTACTGATAATAGTCAATGCTTTCTAGATGTTTACCATGTGTTAGATCATTCTATGTCCTTTACATTTTAATCCTCACAACAATGCTGTGAAGTAGTACAATTCCTGCCCCCATTTTAGAGAGGCTGAGACCTAAGGCACAATGATTAAGTATATCGTCCAAAGTCACACAACAAAGGGGAGGAGCTAGGATCCGAAACCAGCCAGTCTGGCTTGAGAACACATGCTCCTAGTCACTGTCGGTGCCCTCCGATGACTCTGAGACAACAATTACTACAGCAAGCAGAGGGAGGCTAGGGGTCAGGGAAGGCTTCCTGGAAGGAGGACTGACGGACAGGGGATCGGGACAGAGGGAGGGGTGGCAGGAGAACAGCAGGAAGAGTGGCATCTCATTCAAGAAAATCTGGGAGTCGGGTAGGGAATGAGAAAAGAGGTTATTAATAGATCTGAAGCTGCAGGACTCTACTTCTTAAGAGGCCAGTGACCACTTTAGTTAACACTGCATTATTCAAAAGGCAGTGGATAAGAGCACAGGCTTTGATGTCACACAGATCCAGGTTCAGATTCTTGTTATGGCACTTGAGGAGCTGTGTGATCTTGGACAAATCATGGAGCCTGAATCTCAGCTTTCTGATCTGAAAAACAGGAATAAGCATGCTCATTATAGAGCTGTTCAGAGAAGGAAGTAAAAAAAACACATGCGTGCCCTGAACAAAGGGCCTAGAACATAGTCTAGGTTTGGCACTACGAGATTTATATGCCTGCCCTGGTGCCGACAATTAAGGATCATTAATAAATACAAATACTAGGAGAAATCTTTGAGACTCCTTTGTGAAATTAGAAAACCTCGACTTACCTGATTTTCCACACCTGTGCTAAGGGTACCCTAGCACAGGGCAGGCCTGTAATTTATGCTTGTGTTCTCTCTCACTGCCAGCATCCTGTCCACACCTGCCTAGGGTCTGTCTCATCAGATGAGGAGGGTTCAGGGCCCTGTGAGTGCACTTCATCTTCACACGTCTGGAGTTATGAGAACCCAGTGTCTGACCCCGGGCCATGACTTTCAATCACCCTTCACTTCCAGCCCCACGATGAGGCTGCTGCTTCAGCTCCCTGGCCTTTGGAGGCAGCAGGCTGGTGATGCAGGAGGGGGATGCAGTGGCCACAGGCAGCTGGCACATCCCTGCTGCCTCGCGTTGGCCAAGGACGAGAGCCTGGCCGGCAGCAACCCGGCCATCCCACCGCTGCTAGGCAGCCTGTCACTGCAGACAGAGGCAAAGGAGGGGGCACTTCCGTCTCTCAAATATTCTCTTCCATTATCCAGGCTTTTCTTACCTTCTCTGTTTGGCTCTGGCGGCTAAATCCATATCTCCTGCAGGCCACAAAAAAGGGGAGTTCGATTACTATTCAAAAATCACATAAATTTGGTCAAATGCATTTTGGTTCCATTTTTATAAGAAAAGCACCAAAGAGGATTTAGGCTTAGGCTATTTAGGGACTGGAGAAAATGTTTTAAGTGCCTAAACTGCAGACATATTTCACTGTTTTTGAATAAAAGGCCAGTCATCATATTTGCCATATAAATAACATAAATGGGAACTCTCAGATAATGCAGAGTGCAACTTTCTTTTTCAGGGCAATCATTATTCCTTGAATCAGGAACTGCATTTCGGATCCACAGTTTAAGCTGAAAGCCTTATAAATATCTGTATAAACAAACATGGGTGTGTTTGCTCAAGCTAAACATGCTCTCTAATGGCTACTTTCACACCTCAAGTGCAGGCCATTTTTTATTCTCAAACATAACCCAAGCACAATGTCAATAATGTGGTGTGTTCACATCACACAACCTTAAATTCAAAGAAACTCACCAATGCACTTTAGCTTGAATTAGTTTATTTTTAGGTTCTGTTTAATATCTATGCTTTTTTATTTTTGAAAAGCAAGTATAACAATAAAAGACCATTCAACTCAAAACAAAAAGCACAATGCAAAACACCCAACCTCACTTACCTTTAAGTAGTTTATAAGGAAATAAGGTTACATGAACCGTTGAAGAAAACCAACTGAAGGCTTCTGCTCTGCCCACGCTCACACCATCCCTCACCTGCACGGTTAGTGTGCTGGCCTCTTGCCTGGTCTCGGGCCTCCAGCCTCACCCCACTCCCACTTTTCCTCACCATTCCTCACCCAACTTCCCATCGGTCAGATCTGCATTTATTGATGGCAGGCCTCTTCCCTCAGGAGAAAAAGGGCCTCCTTAGCACTCTGCATAGGGCTCCTCCTCTATGGCTCAGACCATAGCCTCACTCCCAGCCGCTCATCTCCATCCACATGCTCCTCTCCATCTACTGCCTGAACAGAGAGCTCTGCCCACGCTGTGCCGTTCTCTTCCCTCTTTCCACTTTCCTAACCACTCCTCACATCTCAGCTCTAAAGCTACCTCCTTTCCAAAGCATCCCCCATGCACAGACACCCTGCTGTGGGCAATCCACCCCTGTGTCTGTACAGGTGCCCCCACTTCCCAGATGGCAATCATGTCCAACTGCCTGTCTGCATCTTCTCCTGGAGGACATCGATGCTACTTTTACATCCTTTATTTCCAACGCATGCTGAACGAATAAACAAAACATAAGTGAAAGGAAATGCAGAAATCAAGAAGCCAAGAGTATCACCTGACCTTGCAATAAGTTGTCCTATAACTGGAGAGACCAAAAAGTCACCACTGGGCACAATGTGCCCATCCATTAGGAATTAATCTACAGGCCCAAAGTGCAGCAGACTGAGGTTAAATCATGAGTATTGAGATAAATTCTGGAAAGGACCTTATGGCAGCCTCTGTGAACTGGCTGAATCAGTATCTACTGCGTCTTCCTCTACCACAGAGGCTGAAAACAAAAAACTGTTTTCCATACTCTCTTGCACCTAGGTTTCTCCACGCCGTTTAGGTTCCTCCACTCAGATGCATTTGCTGGAGTTTTGAACGTGCAACAGTTTGATGAGGAGAGAGGGAGGGCATATCAGATTAATTGTGCTGGTGCAGATCACAGTAGCAGAAACCTGGTTCTGGGGTCGCAATTGTCACAGTGGCTTCCTGACTTTGGTAGAAGCAGTGTGGTTCCCTTGTCAGCAGCTGTAGCACCAGCTTCCCAATTCCATAGGCCGCTAGTTGGCTTCCTGATCAAGGAGGCAGGAGAAGCATCTTTGGAGGCTCAGTTCTAATGTGACGCTTGGGAAATGACACTGGCTCAGCCCAGATTCCATCTCTTAAGCCTCCCCATGGATCCCTGCAATCCAGCAGGAGGGTTGTGTCTTCTCAACCAAGAACCCTGACCAAGAGCGGTTCTCACCAGTTTCCCGCTCCCAGAAGTCCAGAAGTGTCCTTGCATCTGGGGTATTCCTTTGTTTTCCCGGTCCTCAGGTTCCAGAGACCCTCAGGGCAGAAGACTCACGTTCAGGCAGATAGCCCTTATCTAAGGCCCAGGAATTTTATGGATTTTCCAAATAAAGCAGCAAACAACTAAATCTGAGTGACTCAATTCCCAAGTCCCATCTACTCCTCCTTAAAGACAGAGACTCTGGGAACACTTTCTGACCAGCCCAAACTAGGCTAGGCCCCCCGAGGTGTGTGCTTCCATGTACAGACCAGCAGTGTACTCCCACGGTGCCCAGTAACTATGTGTTATGTGTAATCTGTCTGATGAGCTCCTGGAGGGGAGAGAATTTGCTTCATTCGCTTTTTTTTTCATATTTTTAAATTAAGGTAAAATTCATATAACATAAAATTCACCATTTTAAAGTGTATACTTCAGTGGTTTTTAGTGTATTCACTATTTTGTGCAAATCCCACCACTACCGAATTCCAGAATAGTTCCATCTCCCCAAAAAGAAACTCCATCCCTACTAGCAGTCTGTCCCATTGCCCCCTCTAGGCATCCCTTGGCAACCACTAATCTACTCTCTGTCTCTATGCATTTGGCCATTTTGGACCTTTCACATAATGGAATCATACAACATGTTGCCTCCTGTGCCTGGCTTCTTTCACTTAGCATGTTTTCAAGGTTCATCCATATTGTAGCATGAGTCAACACTTAATTCTCTTTTATAACTAAATAATACCCTACTGTATGGACAAACCATATTTTGTTCATCCATTGCTCAGCTGATAGACAGTTGGTTTGTTTCCTCTTTTTGGAGACTGTGAATACTGCTGCTATGAATATTCACGTACAACTTCATTCACTTTTGTTTCGATACCGCCTGGTACGGTGCCTGGCACACAGTAGGTACTCAATAAACGTTTGCTGAATGAATGAAAAGTCCAGCTCATGTTCCTAAAGGGCTCCTCCTCCATGTGACATAGAGGCAATGCTTCCATAACAAAGAACAGCTGTCCTCGGTTGCCTATTAATGCCTGCCTCATTGCATTCAGTGTCTCTGAACAGAAGGTGTTCCAGTGTCTCCGGGAGACTCTTCCATGTTGTCCGAGCTTCATCAAGAGAGTAAGATAGCCCATTACGGCCTGTCATCCCTCACAAAGAGCAAGGGAATGCTTCCACTAATTTCTACTACAAAAGCATTTACTTCTCTTTTATCCTTTCTATGCTGCTCTATCCTACAACCTTTCCTCTTGCCCTGTCAGCCCTGCCCTTTCTTCCCAAATGCCAGGCTGAACTTCAGTGCCATATACTTCAGTATGTTCCTGCCTTCCCTATCGTGAGCTCCGACTCCCCAAGCGGGCTCACGTCCTACACTGTCAGCGTCAATGGCGTCCCAGCCCTCTTACCCCTCAGTTCCCTTCCTCACGCCCTAGACTTAGTATCGGGTCTTCGACATCAAGGGGGAACATCCAGAATAGCACAGTCCACAAGAAATACAGGAGCCACACACAGAACTTAAAATCAGTAGATTCACCTCTCAAGACACTCCAAACATACTTAAACATTTTCCAATAGCTAAATCAATCATGAATTTTTAAATTTAAATGTCTTAATTAAAATTAAAATTCTGTTCCTGAGTCACACTAGTCACATTTCAAGTGCTCAATAGCCACATGTGGCTAGTGGCTACCATGTAGGAACTCACAATTCTAGAAAACAAACTAAACATCAAGAACAATAGCCACAGGGCAAATTAAGACACATATCAAACTATCTGCAACCCAGAACAAAACAGGGACATTAAAAAACCCCTAAATACTAAGGACTGTGGGCCCTAGTCTTTGTTCATCCAGCAGGCACTTATTAACTACCTTCTATGAGCATGTCATCGGCCTTACCGTGAGAGAGGACACAAATAGCCTGGGAGAGACACATCAAATTTCATTTACTAAGTACAGAATGAATTCAAGGCAACTCGAAATTAAGCCTCAAATAGTGTAGAAGAGGCTAATTCCAGCATTCTAGTGGCTGTACTTCAAAATTCCACTTGCAAGTCAAACACGCTGCACATAAAACGCATTTCCCCACAGTGGCAGTTAGTAGAGCATGGTTAGGTGTTTAAGTCGGCTCCTAAAAGTTGATTTGATCTACAATAAAATTGAAATATTACAAAGTTACAATTTTGTTTAAGTCTAAAATCAAACTACGAGTCCCTGTATTTCCAACAGCGTAACATTTAAACAAATATAACCAAACATGTTTTTAATGGACACACAGTCCTTAAGGCCTTCAGCAGGGCTGACCAGGCTTAAACCTCAGCCTTATTTGAGCCACTAAAAGTCTAAAAGGAGGAATAAGCTGCAATGCTGACCTCAAAGCCAGATGCACTGTGGGCCTAGGCTGACGAGTGATCTTCAGCCCAAAGAGGAAACTCTAGTTTCAGACTTTCTTCCTCTCGGAGTCAAAATACTTTCCCTCTGATCAAGAGGTGAGATGAAGAGGAAAACAGAAGTCCTGACAACAGATGGGGGATCTGGATTCCTAGGTGGGGATGAGCAAGTAAGGGATGCCACAACATAAAGGGAGAGGCAGGATAGAGCAGAGCGAGTCTAACAGAGGGTGGATGGACGCGCCAGGTATGTGTGAGTGGGCTTGGATAGCACCACCTGCCATGGGGCCGCTGCAGGAACGGGTGACTCCCCCAAGAGCCCAGCGCCCCCATATGGCAGCCAGCCACCCAGGAGCCAACAGGCGAACATACTCTGCCTTGGGGGATGAAGCTGTCCCCTGAACATGCAAAAGGAAGCACTAGGTGAGGGAGCTAGGAGGGGGAATAGAGTCACAAGAGCATCCAGTGTGCCAGCTGCTCCTGAGCCCACACACAGCCAAGCATTTTAAATCAACACAGGGAATAGCGGCAAATCTAGATTTTAAACGTTAACACTAACATTTAAAAACTGGAAGATTACCGACAAAATTCCAGCTGTCTAGCTTATTTTATGTATGAAATGAGATGCGGCCACGTGTGACAGTCCCTCAAGGCAACGCTCTTCTGGAGCTGAGCTGCAGCCACTCTCTGGACAGCGCTTGTGCTCCCAGCTTGCTACTCCCTAAGCTTCCCCCTGCCCAGGTCCTCCACAGCCTGTGCCAGCCTGACCCCTGGAGGCATCTGAATTTGTCGTCCTCCCGTTAGCCCCATGGAGCTTCACTTCTTCACCCGGGATGTGACCACAGCAGTGTCGGGCCTGGGTTAGATGCACGGGGAATGCAGCCTTAGAGCAGGGGTCCACTGAGTTCCCCGAAGGCAGCTGAGAAGGGGTGTGGGTGGGCGAGGCCCGGGACCAGGGGCTCAGTGAAGTGTCCCCAAGGAATGCTGTGTCTTCTGACTCCAAAGTTGCACCCTGACCTCCTGCCCATCTCCCACTACCTCATGCATCACTACAGCCGGGTGTTCCACAAACCCTGGGCACGCTGGGCCCATGACCCTGGGGTCAGCACCAAGGGCACCAGCCAAAGGCACCCATCCAATGCGCCATCTCCAGCAGCTCAGAGAGCACAGCGCCACAGTAAGGAGGCCACTGCCAGACCCACTTATAGTGAGAAACTGAGCCTCCAACTGAGCCTCCAAAGGGACAAGGGACTGGTCCAAGGTCACGCAGACTTGAAAGGCTTAGAAGCCAGGTCTGCCGATCTCTCACACAAGCAGATAGGCCAGCCTCAGACGATGACAACCAGGTGACCTAAGCACAGAGCGGGCTGCGTGTGTCATGGTGGGGGTGGGGGTACAGGACAGGCAGGCTGAGGAACAGATGCCCAGAGGGCAGAGTCTCCCAGCGTGAGGGCACTGTTGTCTGGAGAGCAGAGCAAAGGCGCTCCTGCGGGAAGACCAGCTCGTCCTAAGGCCTGGAGGTGCTGCAGGATGAGAAACACGGCTTGTACGTGACAGAGGGGGACTCCGGAAGCCGCCACCCTCATGTGTGGAGGCCCCTGGACTCCCACTCCTCCCGGCTTGAACCCCACCCTGGCAGCTCTGTCTCCATCTAAGTCTCTGTCTCCCCTCTTTCTGCTGCCCCGAGGCCCAGCCCCTGAGCCGGCTCCTCCTCAGCATCCTGTGCTTTCCACATTGTTCTGTCTTGGTTCAGGCACCACAGATGCATTCCCTCCCTTGAAGTGATAATTAAGTTTCTCATTACTGAGGAACACACTCATGACCTGACTTCAGAGTTTAAAAAGAATTAACATTGAAAGAAAATCGATGGATAAGGGTCAAAATGAGCACAGGGTGAGGTCGCTCAGTTCCTGGGAATGAAGAGCCCTGGTCCAGGAGGGAGAGAGAAGGTGAACTTGACCCCCATCAGGCCCGTAGGTAATCCTCTCGTGTATTCAGGGTTTTAGCCATCATCCCATGTCTGAACCCATTTCTGCATCTGGCCCAGAGCCCCCCGAAGGCTCACAGCTTGGAGAGCTCATCAGAGTGTGATCACAGCACTGGGGGCCCAGGTGAGGCCACAGGGGCTGCAGGAGGGGGTGGGGATCAAGAACGGCTTCATGGAGGAGACGAGGTCTGAGCTGGGTCTCCAAGGACCAGCCATCATCTAGCCAGGGCCTGGCACCAGGCAGGAACCAAGTCCATGATGAGCGAATGAGTGAGTGAACGAATGAACAGGCACCCACCTAACAGACAGAAGGAGGGGCAGCCAGCCCAAGCCGAGGCTGAGACGCAGGGCTCCTGGGGAACATGGAGAGGGGCTGCCGTGGGTGCCCACCTCGCCCCCTTTATGGCCGTCCTGATGCCACAATAGCCATTCTCTGCCCTCTCGGGAGCCCTGGTCTGCGCTCTGCTCTGCGATGCTGCTCACCATTTCCAATCACACCTGCCTGTGTCACCTCTGCGTCCCCATTTGTAAGTGTAGCAGCCATTTGGTGGTTTGTGAAGAGGGGGAGGTCAGTGTGCAGCCCAAGGCTGAAGACAGGAGGGAGAAGGTGACAGGGTTCCCGAGGCAGTGCATCCAGGGGGTTGGCACATCGGCAAGGCAGGGTGGGGAGGAGTCCTGCCTGGGGGTGGAGGAGTCCGCTGGTGGGGGCTCCCTCACCCAGAGGGACTTCATGGAGAGGATGCACACATGGGCCAAGGGCTGAACTCCGTTTAGGTCAAGCTGACTTCAAGAAGCTCAAGGACACTCAGAGAGACAAGTCTAGGGGGAAGTGGAAGTGGGGGTGAAGGTGCAACAGAGGGTGAGGGTCGGAGCTCGAGACCCAGATGAGATGGGGCAGTGGAGGGGCTGGAGGACAGCGAGGATATTCATCCAGTGGGGTCGTTAAGAGGAAGACCACTGTGTTGATTTCACAGCCTCCTGATGCCTAATACAGCTGGGCCCAGGGAGGCCATTCAATGAACACATACTGACTTCACCCAAATTCACCCGGTTCTACATTAAATCATAGAATAGAATAGAATTTGCTGAACTCAGGTTAACTAGCTAGAA